GCATACTGAATGGACAAGCCGTACTACCTCCCCCTAGTGGCAAGATATTGCTCGATATCACGCAGTCTCTTGATATTACCGTCCATAGTCCCCTCGGTGTTACTCACTTTCCCGATAACACCGATCACGCCTCCGATGTACTAGATTTTGCGTTACTCCAAGGAGTTTCCCTCAACCTCAGGGCAATCGAGACACTAGACGATCTAAGATCCTATCACCGACCGGTCTCCCTCATTATTGGCTATCAGCCGCCTCCCCCAACACACACGAAAACCTTCACTAATTGGAAGGGATTCAAGGAGTTCCTAGCTAAAGCACTGGACTCACAGGACTACCATCTCCCTACCGTTGGACTTAGACAGTCCCGAAAAAATCGACACCCACCGCGGTCGATTCACTCTCCACCCTTATTAAATTCTCCCTTAAGGAGAATGAAAGGGTCGTTCCGGTTGCTAACAATAGTGGGCTTCCCCTACATATTAGCAACCTATTAAAAGCCAAGAAAGCTGCTTTCCGGAGAGCAGCAAAATATCCCACCCCCGAATATAGGCGCACGGCCAATCGTCTTCAACGAGAACTCCGTTTCCGCCTCTCTGAATTTCGAGACCTCGAAAAGAGTAAACTCTAATTAAATCTCTAAATAAAAGTAATATCTCTCCATCTCATACAGCGTACTATCAGATGGCTAGAGCCCTCCGCATAGACGCTATCACCCACACTCCCCCTCTCTCCCGTCCCGACGGTACGGTTGCCTTCGAGGACGAGGAAAAGGCTGAGTGCTTTGCAGATAGCATTGCCGCACAATGCTCTCCTAGCTCTCAACCCGTCGACCCCTCACACGTCCAGGCAGTGGAGGATGAGGTCCGCCGCCGGAACTCACCCCCTACAGCCTCCGAACTTATCTCTGTGTCCAATGATGAGATTTCATCCCTCATCAAAGGACTTAAGCTCAAAAAGGCTCCGGGCGCGGATGGCATCTCCAACCAAGCCCTAAAACACTTTCCTGAGCATGTGTTAACCTTTTTATCTATTATCTTCAACGCCTGCTTCAACCTTAGTACTTTCCCACTACGTGGAAAGGGGCAACTGTGATTGGTATTCCCAAGCCAGGCAAGCTTCTCAACCTCCCCTCCAGTCATCGCCCATTAGCCTCCTCAAGGCAATGGGCAAGCTCTTCGAAAGTCATCCAAACACGTATGAGGCGCTATCTGTTTCCCACAGATGGTGACCCTCTTATCATTCCCCATCAATTCGGTTTCCGAGCGCAACACTCATGTCCCCAACAAGTTCACCGTATTGTGGAATGTATTCTCAGTGGTTTTTATCCTCGTCGTTATAAGACTATCGCGGTCTTTTTCGACATAGCTAAAGCCTTTGATAGAGTCTGGCATACAGGCCTTATCTGCAAGCTGTACAAAATAGGTCTCCCCCGATCGTCTAGTACGTCTCGTGGCCTCTTACTTAAAACATCGTACCTTTCGTTTTAGACACGAAGGCACGCTATCTTCACAGCGCCCTATCAAAGCTGGTGTCTCTCAGGGCTCAGTACTTGCTCCTTTGCTGTACATCCTGTTCACCAACGACATTCCCATCCCGTCGAAAGGTGTTCAGCTCTCCCTCTTCGCAGACGACACTGCTATCTACTGCAAAGGTATCTCGCTACCTTTCATACGGAACAAGGTTCAAAAGTCAATCGACGACCTAGGAGCTTGGTTCAAAAAATGGCGCATCAATGTGAACCCGGAGAAGAGCTCCGCCGTTCACTTCGATTATAAACGACGCCGTCTCAAAAACACTCCACCAATACGTATGCTAGGGACCCCTGTCCCCTGGCATACGACTGCCAAATATTTAGGTGTCACTCTTAGACACAAGGCTCACTTTTAGGCCCCACGTCAAAAGAGTAACTCGTCACGCACGTTTTTATCTGAGTAGGCTCAACAGTATGTTGGGCGGACACAGTAAAATGTCCCTCAGAAACAAGCGTACCCTTTATAAGGTCTGTATACGACCAGTCATGTCCTACGCGGGCCCCATTTTTGCCCACGCCGACCCTAAAATTATTAATGAACTCCAAATAGTTCAAAACCTTTTCTGTCGTCGAGCTGCGAACGCACCTTGGTACGTCCGTAATGCCGACCTTCATCGGGACCTAGAGCTCCCTACAATTCAACAATTTCTTAAAAAACTCTCTGAGAACTTCTTCAAAGCCTCAGAGTCGCACTCCAACCATTTTATTCGTGACGCAGCTACTTATGCAGCTCCACCCCCCTCTCGCTATCAAGTCCGCAGGCCGAGAAACTCTCACTCGGACCCGCCTAATGAACTGTCAAACGACCTGAACTGCCTCCTGGCGGCTCAGGCCAACTCTAATTAAATTAAATTATTCACTCATAATTAATTTGCCTTCGTAGGCACTCCCTCAGCGGCTCGTAGCCGCCTGCGCCCTCTTTTCCCAAAAGAGGGTCGCTCCCGATACGGCATAAGAAAGCTTAAACAGCCATTTGCCAGTCCCCAAAGGCGGTTTTTAGAGGGTAACACCTAGGTTCCCCCGGTAGGCAGTGAGTTCCTCATAACCACGATAGACCGGCTATCGTGGTATGCGTAATGCATTTTCTGCCTCCCTACATATAGGGTAGCCCTTTAATTGCTTCGGGCGCAAAAAAAATTTATATTATGAAAACAAAACTCAAACTTCTGCATTATTTTTGTTCAACGTAAATTCCAGATGAACAGTGTACCATAATATGTTTTTATTTACTTCAAAATGGTTACAAGTTATTAATTACTCAGATTTTATAACAAAAATATTCTATGTTCACGGGTATGACGAATTTTCGGATACTTGAGTGGATTAACCTCACTACAGGGACCACTTTTTATGTCAGATTCAATTCATATTCGGGATTTAAGCTGTTTAGAGGTTACTTTTTAACTGAAAAATTACTGGAAAAAATCTATTCCCGTAACAAAGAGTTTTCCTTATGTCCTGCCACTAGGACAGATGCACGCTACTTATATTTTCAGGACTATTTTATGTTCTGCATACAAGACAATTACAGCCAATGTGAGTATATTATTGTGTAATGAAATAAGCCCACAAAGTACTCAATTTTTTATTGAAAAGACATATTATTAAACTTTAAACTTAAGTTCTTCGTTATTTATTTTGAACAGGTAATATTTTTATAACATTACTTATTGATTTGATTTGTATATAAAATCAGTCTCAATAAGTCAGTCATCAACAGTTACAGAATCCTATCTAGCATACAAACAATAAAATATGACGTCATTTGCGTAGCTATAATTAAAAAATAAGAAAATAAAGCCTCTGAACATAATTATGGATTATGAAAAGCTTCAAAACAGTTTCTCTGAGCGGTGAAACATAAACATTTTTTGCAGGTGACTGTAGTCTTTTCATAACAACCCTCATTTCTGCATCTATTTTGCTTTAAACTGTGTTGTGGCATGTGATTAGCTTTTTTTGACGAATAGCTTTAGTTGGTAACGGAAATATAGTAGTCTTACGTTTCTTGTGCTTTGGTAAAAGTTCTTCAAACTCACCAGCAGGGTCATCTGTGTCTGTAGAATCTAAGTTATCAGCAATTAACTTCTCACCAAGTTCCATCTTAAATTCACGTATGCCTATAACGTTTTTAACGCCTTTTTCTTCTCTCTCTGTTTGAACTGAAGGTATGAGTTAGCAACAGCCAAGTCTATCATATGAGAAATTACTCGTATTGTCCACTTTTTTGTTCTGTTAAGTGAAGGGTATACAGCTAACATTCTATCAAATAAATCTACACCCCCCATATTTTCGTTATATTCTTTAAAAACTTCGGGGCGTCTTACACGTTCATACACTTTGTTTTTCTTCGACCATCTTTCACGCTGCATGTCTATTAGATAAACGCGTTGACAACATCACCACGGGCTTATTGTCCATCCAACGTGTCACTGCCATCTTGCCATCTACTCGTGCTTTTATTTCGCAATAACCCCGTTTCTTTTAAATAAAACTCTTATCTTCTTCCATCATACAGTTTTTGGGCAATCGGTTTCTCATAATTGTTCCAGTCGCGTGAAAACCTTTATTCAATAATTCATCACACAATTTGATAGTGGTAAAATAGCGATCAAAAAAGATGTGTTGACCAGGGACAAGTGCTTCGGTCAGCCGAATCTGTCTAATTTCTGGAAAAGTTGTATCTCCTTGATATATCTCGAAATCTATAACCATTCCCTGAGGCGTTGCTAAATTAATACTTTTAACCCTAAGGGATTAGGTTTGTTAGGGTTATATTGAGGAATACAACATTGACCAGTAAACGGAATGATCATTTCATCAATAGACATTTTTGCTGTGCGAGGTTGAAGTAAACATCCTTGTCGTACTTTTTCGAAAAGGGGACGCACTTTCCAAATCTTGTCTTTTTGACGCTCTTCGACGGTAACATCAAGATCATAAACCACTAACACATAACGACGTTCTAATTGCGTAAAAACACAGACGTGAAACGACAAACATAGCTGATGTTATAATAGGCTGTTTCCATTTAGACGACCAATACATGTCTATTTGAGGATATTGTAATGAAGCCATAATCATTGTCACTCCAGTATAAGCTTTTTATTCTTTAACTGTAAGACCAAGTGACCTGCCTTTTACATGAACTGCTATTCTGTTTGTACAATCCACAATTTGTAAGAGTATTTGGTCTTGGAGTTTGGTGTTTGGATATGTTGGTTCATTCAGATTTATTTCGAGAGGTTCAAAATTTCTAGTCCATAAATCCATAACATCAGGTTGAGATCGAGACGGTATTTGTCTGTAGGTTGGCTAAATTGACCTTCGAGGACGACAAGAAGATCTTGCTCGGCGTAAACCAGAGCCAGTTGCCTGGCGTATTATAGATCCACTCGATAAACCCGGCGATGGTGGCTCAACAACATCATGGGAGTCTGAATTTACAGAAGAATCACTAGAATCATACCTTCGACGCTCTTGTGTAGCGATTTCCGTGGGTTCATTATATATGGGATCTTGGGTATCATTGTCGCTGCTAAAGTCGACATCAGATTCTTCTAGTAATGCTAGCACGGTATCGTCAGAACAGGCTAAAACAAATATCAAATAAAATATTATTTACATAATTCCCTTACAGGTACCTATATATATATAACCTATACACAGGACATAACAATCAATGCAGTCTGCATGATTCCTAAATACAGGACATATAATTTTTATCCCCAATGAAAATAAAATCATGGCAGAATTCGCGTAAATATTGACAAATCAAACTAAATCTGCTATTCGAAAACGTAATTTGAATAACTTTTGATAGAAATAGCAACATTTTTATAAGATTCAGAAAGATTGAACTTACCAATGCCCGAGCGCGGCTCGATACATCTGGATCTCGAAGCCATTTTGGCAGAATTGACCTTCAGTTGAGCTGTCAAATATTTTTCTATACCTACACAATCTTCAATCAACAACAACAATGTTCAATAGATGTCGCTAGGGGTTTTTATTTGACGTGATGTGAATATTTAACTCGCAAGATTTTTTATATTTTTATGTTCTATAGGTAGTACAAGTTCAGCGAGGAGGTTAAAGGAATTGTGCATTTAACTGTGTACTCACGTAGAAACTTCTTTATGATATAAATATATCATTCTTCTTTTATTTTATTACTCATTTTACCTGGCGGTGAAACGTTACAAGAAAACGTGACGTTATTTTTATAAATTTCGCCACTACGTCGATAATATTAATAAAGTTTCACTTTATTAATACAAATGTAAACATTAAAGCTATTTTTTTTTTCTTTTCGCATACTCCTAGAATAGACGGTAATACAGTTCCGTTTTGGACAAAATTAATAAATTTTCTTTTTTTAAATATAACTTTTTGTGAGCTTCAATCTTGAAAACACCTATATGGCTGCTTAAAGCTATTGTAAAGTGTCAAAAACTTTAAATGATAGTTATGAATGGTAATATTTAGTAAATCATTTTTATTTTACATGGTAGAACAACGGTGCTGCTATATTATAGTTGTAGCATAATTGGGTCGGCTCGACCGAAGCAAAATCACGCTCTCACAATATACCAGCATAAAATAGCAGCGTAATGCTGCTGTGTTTCGTATGGTGAGTGTAGAGATCCGGAGACCCTTTTTAACTGGAAACTAGACATTCCATCTAAGTCGTCAGGGGTGACAACGCATTTGCATTTTGATCCTTAATTGAGGATAAATGTGGATGTCTATGGGCCACAGCATCTACTTACCATCAGGTGGAATGTGTGCTCGTTTGTCACCAAATGTTATGAAAAAAGTTTTAGTTTAAAACACTAGAATTTAACATCTTAAACACAGTTTAGGTTGTTTGTACTTGAGGTTACTATAAATTAAAAATGTGGAATAGAACGAGCCAAATACAAGCTATTTTCACCTCTAAACGTATAGCAATGCGGCTTCCTCTCGCTTGAAAGTATCATTTGCGCATCCTCTTGATTGTGAGCTGAAGCGATGTAGTAAGATGTTCCCAGGCATTTGAACTCTGGAACCAATACATAATTAAAGTAAAAAATCTAAAAAGCTGTTGACCGTGGTTTTTCCGCTTTATCGAGCCTGAAACGCTCTAACAGAGCTCTAAGAGCTCAAAAATCTACCAATTGGATTAAATAGGCACAAAGCACTGTCCTGAGCCACCTGCATCCATCGACTTCCTGCATGTCTTACCAGTCGTCACAATGTTGTCGTCACTCCATCTAGTGGGGGGTCGCCCTACACTACGCCTACCGGTACGAGGCTGCCACTCGAGAACCTTTCTTCTCCATCGGTTATCGGTTCTTCGAGCTATATGGCCGGCCCATTGCCACTTCAGCTTACTAATCCGTTGGGCTATGTCGGTCACTCTGGTTTTACTGCGGATATCCTCATTTCTGAGTCTATCACGCAGAGAAACTCCGAGCATAGCCTTGAGCCCTTGAGCGTCCTCATACGGCTAGCAGTGAAGGACCACGTCTCTGATCAGTAAATCATCACTGGCAACACGCACTGGTTGTACACTTTAGTTTTCAGAGATTGCGGTATACCTGACGAGAACATGTGTCCTAATTTCCCGAACGCTGCCCAGCCGAGTTGAATCCGTCGATTGACCTCTCGGTCGAAGTTGGACTTAACTAGTCGGACTATTTGTCCCAAGTAAACGTACTCGTACACAACTTCGAGCATAGTGCTCCCAACAACTACCGGCATAGGTGAGACATGGACATTAAACATGATCTTTGTTTTGTCCATGTTCATCTTAAGACCTATCCGTTGAGAGACACCATTGAGGTCATTGAGCATAGTGCTAAGGTCCTCCAGCGATTCTGCCATAAGGACTATATCGTCGGCAAATCGAAGGTGAGTGATGTACTCGCCATTGATGTTAATACCGTATCCTTTCCAGTACAGTAGCTTGAAAACGTCTTCCAATGCAGCGGTGAAGAGTTTCGGGGATATAACGTCACCCTGTCTTACACCTCTCTGCAGTTAGATAGGTTTCGAGCTCTGATTCTGTACTCGGATAGCCATCGTAGCCCTACTGTACAAACACTTCAGCAATTCGATATACCGACAGTCAACTTGGCACCGCTGAAGGGACTGTAGCACCGCCCAAATTTCGACGGAATCCAAGGCTTTCTCATAGTCCACATACACCAGGCAAAGTGGCAGATTGTACTCTTCGGTCTTCTGTACAATCTGCCGCAGGGTATGTATGTGGTCTATGGTACTGAAGTCTTTTCTGAAACCGGGTTGTTCGGAAGGCTGGAAGTTGTCGAGTCCGCGTGCGAGACGATTCGTAATGACTCTCGAAAACAGCACGTAGACGCGGCTCAGAAGGGAAATCAGTCTATAGTTATTTAAGAGAGCGTTGTCGCCTTTCTTAAAGAACAAGACCACCGCATTTCTACTCCACGCCTCCGGAGTAGTGCCACCATGGAGGACGGAATTGAAGAGCTTCTGAAGGACTTCAAGTACCGGTGTTCCACCCGCTTTCAGAAGCTCCGCTGTAATTCCATCCTCGCCTGGAGACTTCAACGCAAAACTAGGCACAAAAGAAGGCGGTGAGCTGAAGTTAGGGAAATTTGAAGTAGGGCAACGGAATCGTAGGGGCCAGCAGCTGGCTGACTTTATGGAGAAAGAGGGACTCTTTATGAGGAACTCTATTTTCCAGAAGCGGCCCCACAGGAAGTGGACCTGGTCGAGCCCCGACGGTTCGACAAAAAATGAGATTGAATTCATTATGACGACCAGACGCCAACTGCTCAGTGATGTCTCGGTGATCGCAATGGTGAAAACCGGCAGCGATCACCGAATGGTTAGAGGCACACTGAACCTAAATATTAAGTTGGAGAGGTCTCGTCTAATGAAGTCAACGCTCCGTCCCCCTCGTGCTCTAGTCCAGAATCCCGAGACTTTTCAGCTTGAGTTACGTAACCGCTTGCAGTGCCTAGAAGATTGCAATGCAGTGGACAATATGAATGACAAGCTCGTGGAAACTGTCCATGCGGTCGAGTTAAGTTCTGCAAGACCCGCCGCAGAAGAACACAAAAACTCTCCGATCACCAATCACGACGGGAGATGAGGCTGCAATCGTCAACAGATTTGACAGCATACAGGCAACTGAACAGACAGATCTCCAAATGCATGCGGCGAGACTTACGAAACTTTAATACTGCTCGTATTAAAGAAGCGATCGAGCGGAACCAGGCGCTCCAAAGTCATTGCTCTGTCTGCCAGAAAGAGCCAACTGTCAAAGCTGAAGACTGAGTGTGGCAGCATCGTTTCCGAGACACCTGAGATTTTGAGTGAGATTGAGAGGTTCTATGGGCAGCTGTACACATCATCGTCTTACCCGACGCTATTCCGATGATATCCCGGACGTCAGTCTGAGCGAGATTAGAATGGCTCTCCAGCACCTTAAAAACGGTTGGGTGGCAGTGCTGCTCTAAAATATCAATGGCATAAAAATGTACTCGAGTTATATGCATGTATTTATTTGAAAAAGAAAAAAAAAGAAAGGCGAAAACATATTGGGTTGGGTATTGGCGTAGGTCAAAAACTATATAATGTAATTCGTCTTACCTGGACTCGCGTACAGCCCAAACGGTATCTTAGCTTGAGTGGACTTGATCTTGGCTTCGGACGTGTCCATTTTCTTGTTCAATTTCAGCAGCACCATGGACATCAATGCCATGTCGGTCTCGAAGAGGAGTCGTTTAAGATCCTTTATATGAGTGTCGATGAATGAGAACAGTTTCTTTTGGGCTATTTCTAGAATTTCACGACGTTCCGCCTGTTGTAAGGTAATGTGATTATGTTTATATAGAAGATGAGGCAAGCCTACCCACGAACATACAACAACAATGAACGAACCACGGGTGCCTTTTTTTAAAGGTTTCTACGACATATTGATCCAGAACAATCGCTGGTGGCGGCAGATTCCGCAGACTCCGTTCGGGGCGAAAATCTTCTGGAAAATTGTGCTGAACCGCCTTTCATCCATATAGTATAATTGGAATCACTTTTTTCTTATTTTTAAAGAACATTAACAATGCTATAAACATTACTAATATTCCCCTTAACCACTCGTGGTAAGCTTAAATTGCTTGTGTTACGAGTGGTTCACGTCAGTAGTCGAATGGCGGATTCGAACCCACGACCTTTTTGAGTTCGTGATCCGCGCCCTGCCATTAGGCTACTGTCCCTTCATCATGTATTTTATTGGAACGCCATGGTGAAATTTAGCAGCTAGAATTAATTCGAACAATTTCTGCGTTAAATCCAGCCTCAGATACCCAGGCGCCCGAGGCGAGAAAATTTGTGGCTCCCCTAATTTTTAATTTGTGGCCGTGGAAGGAAAAGGGAAGATCTCCCGCCAGACAAAGTGTTCTGCCCGGGGAGCAGCCAACGCTCCGTGTGATAGTTCGGAGCTATTCTATATTTACTGTTTTTTACTTCGGAACTTTGATAGCGTGATTTAGGCTTCGATGTGTTTCGCTTGTGTCGCCATGACAGCGCCGCCACAACTTTAGGAGCCAATGCTTGATCACAATTTCGTTAATGATATAATAAGTAGCGATAATATAATGCTCGTGCGTCTAAAAAATAGTTCCGCCAGGTTTCTTGCTAGTTTTCACCAGGACAAAGTTTTCTTTCCGAACTAGTAAAAGTAAAATGTTAATTTCAAAAAGAATGGTTGTAATATATATTGAATAAAAGGTAGTTCTATTATTTTCTATTATATTCCCAGGATTACGTGGTCGAAGTCTACGGACGCGAGGGGTATGGGTGTGTATGTTCAAGATGAAATGAGGTGATTATGAATAGCATAAATTAGAATATAATTGAATAATTCTTTTATTCAATATAGATTACATGTAATTTTTATTGAAAATCGTTTTTTACTTTACCACAGGTTCGGAATAAAACCTCTGTCCTGCAAAGAACCAACAAGAAAACCAGTGGGACATTTAAAAAAAATTAACAATATGAATGGTTACAAACTATTTACAAAATTTATTTAGAAACAGCTTGGAAACGACCACCTCATTCCCAGGGATTATTATCAAACATGTATTCATTTATATTATAATAACACTTTTTACACAGTTTTTGTTTAATTAAATACTTAAACTTGATTGATATGATTAAAGATGATAGAGAGACCTTGTATATTTTCTGGGATTATGTTGTAATAGCGTATAAGTTGCCCCATTAATGAAGTACTGACTCTGTGGAGTCGAGAAAATGGTAGATATCACTAGCTTTTGTTTGTTGGTAGTGTTTACAGTGTGTATATCACTTTTTTACTAAAACTACCTTTGTTTTTGTGAACATATATTACATTTTCATAAATCTACTCAGAGGCCAAAGTTATTATATTTATTTCTTTAAAATTTTCTCTAAGAGATTCTCTCGGTTTTAGGTTGTAAATAGCTCTAATGGCCCTCTTCTGCAAAATAAAAATAGTTTCTAAATCAGCCGCATTTTCCCCTGGCGAAATATCATAAAACATTACGCTATGTAAATAACTGAAATAAACTAATCTAGCTGTCTCGACACGTGACGTGACTATGGAAAGAGACATTGGCCTATCCCAATGTGGTGAGATTTGCCTCAGTCGTAACGCTTGCCAGCCAAATGGATTATCACAATACCAGACGTGTGACACTAAGTAATAGTAGTATAAGTAAACCTTCAAGACGAAATGAGGTGATGGATTCCCTTAACTCACATTCACGGGTTTTATCTGCAAATATAAAAATCAATACCGGATTATGCGGCTCCTTTATCCGTCCATTCATATAACTGTAGTAATCCTGAAGCTTTTCAAACTTCTCATCTGCATAACTGTGGCGGGGATCGATCTCTTTTGTACTTGGCAAGTTGAAAGGCTTCTGCGCATGGTAATTTAAAACAAATAATTTAAAAAATATTATGTTTTACTTCTATTCAGGTTACTACTTACTATCAAATTTCTACAAGCCACGTTACAGCTGTATCATGGCTACAATTCAAATAAGATATCTCAACCGGTGAAGAATACACTCTCTCAGGATAACAGTATAAATTTTTTTCTCTATGGTTAGTGAAGGGAACAGGAGACCCATTTTACTGCTAATAAAATATTTCATATTAGTGCTTAGAAGTGACTGCATATCTGCATTTCTTAATCGATGATAGATCAGTGTTTATTGGCTGCAGTCATCTGATGGACAGTGTAAATAAAAAGATAATACGTGTGGCCAGTGATGACTAAGAACCGAGATGTGGTCCTTATAGGTTAGCTGTTTAAGGAAGTACGTAGTCGTTTAGCAAGCTATGGAGGCAGCTACGCGTAGAACACACCGTGATAAAATCCACAACGAAGATATACGTAACAGAAGAAATAAAATCGGCATAGCTGAACAGGTCAGCACGCTAAATTACCGATGAGATGACCATATGGCGCGTGACCTCGCTTTTCGGATATAATTTTAGGAACGTTAAGAGAAATTAAAAAGTTCATGTCGATTTGCCGCTTGCACCAACCGCTGGAGCCATTTTCTTAGTTTTAACTGAAACCATTGTACAAGTATTTGATATATTAATACAGTTCACCACAATGCATATCGCATATATCACAACAAGTTACGAAGTTTACATTGGTCTTTCGAGCCGGATTAAACGCCTATCTCTATCTCGCGTAACTAGTTCTCACAAGGCTAATTATAAAACTGATGATGAATTGAAGAAAGAGGATGTATACAAAAAAAAACTAGGGCAATAGTACTGTATCAACTAGTACAATGAAGTTAGTTGTAATACCAATTTAGTATTCCATCATTTCATATTAGCTTAGTCCCAATCGTGAATCGGATCAATAGCCTTCTTTGTTTAAAGTTGGTTGCATGTGTCCAAAAGCTGCAGTAGCCAATTACCATCTGTTGGACTGTTAGTTCACTTGTCGTTTCAATTTTATAAAAATGAAATAAATTTATTTAAAATAGGTCTACTTAACAATGTTTTAGAGTTTCAAAGATCTCACTTTCGGTCCTGAGTGACTTGACTTTGACTTTCATCATCATTACAGCTCTTCATGCATCTGAGAATACTTTGTTGCGACTTGAAAATCGCTCCTTTTATCGCGCTTATTATACCGGATATACTTACTGTTTCAACTGTTGGAAACGATAATCTAGCGAGCTGAAAAAAAAACACAAACTTCTTTAATAAACAATATCAAAGAAAATAACTTAGTTTATTATATTAGACAAATTGAGTGGTGTTCATAAAAACACGCCTAATAAATCCAAACTTGCTGTACTCTAGTACAGTTAGATGCATTTCCTAATATAAAAGCTTATCTGCCGAAGTAATTAGTGAGATCTCTTAACAATTACAAGATATTAGTGCTGCTCTGGAAGATGCCTTACTAGCAGTAATTATGTTAAGTTATCTATCTACTGATTATGACTCACTCATAATGGCTATTGGGAACTCTAATTAGCTCACATCTGATATGGTAATGCCAAAATTGATTCAGGAGTGACAGCGTAAAGAAGACAAAATTTTTAAACTAGCTTGGAATTAGCACCAAAGAAGCAGCTCAACGTATTTCACTGTTTCAGATATAAGAAGCCAGGACGTAGGTATAAAAGATTGTCCGGTAAGAAATTATGTGGAGACAGAAAAGCACTCTGACAAGGCATTGTTGACCGCGGCTGCATTATCAGTGAATGGTGGTAGTAATATTTGGTGTGTGGGCTCGGGGGCTCCAAGTCATATGTGTAATAAAAAATATATTACATGATTATGTGAGTATATACCTGTTGCTACAACTATTGCAAATGGGCAATGTTTGGGGATTGTAGGCGATGGTAATGTGAAAATATTTTTGCAGAATGGATTAAAGGCTATAAGTGATGTAGTCTATGTATCTAACTTATCAAGTAATTTACTATCAGTGCAGCGCAGCATTTAATGACAGGTTATGCAAAATTTATGATAAGAAAGAGTTTATAGCTGTTGCTAAGTGTAAAAATGGTGTATACATATTAAATACATTAGGTAAAGCATTTTCGTCAACTGAAGGTCCAAGTAGTAATTCAAAAGTAAGTTTGAATTTGAATCAGGTGGAGGCAGTTGCTGCAGTAGTTTTTCAACCTTTGCTTACGGAGTCATAAGCAGTTTGGCACAAGCGACTGGGACACCTCAAGAATTATGCAAATAATAAATGGAAGAATATTGGTAATAACTTTAATAACTCAACTTTTGAATCCTGTTCAAGGTAAAAAAAACAAGGCATCCATTTCCATCAAAACAATGAGTCGTGCACAAGAAGTTTTAGGGTTTATACATATGGGACTCATGCGGCCCTATGCCCAATATTTAATGCAATTAAGCTAGATATTTTTTTAGCTAAAGGAGACAAATGAGCACACAGTAAACCTGATGTTAAGTGGTTGCTATGACCCATAGACATCTACATCTATCCTCGATTACGAATCAAAATGCAGATACGTTGTCACCCGTGAGGACTAAGATGGAATGCCTCGTTTTCAGTAAAAAGGGTCTCCGGTTCTCTACACTTACCATACGAAACAGAGTAGCGTTAAGCTGCTATTTTACGCTGGTATTCTGTGAGAGCGAGGTCCTTCTCCGTTTGAGCCGACCCATTCGTGCTACACACAACTATACCAGTAATATAGCTTCAGCATGGCTCTACCACGTAAATTTTTTTCTTATAAATAATTCTCATTTATAACAGAACATTTTTGAAGGAAAACATTTGTTTATTTTATCATGTTTGAAATGTTGGTTGAAAATCAAATTGTATTTGAACTTGATACAGGAGGAAAGTCAAGTGCGGGGTTAACACTATTTTGAAAAAGTAGTAAGAAATAGAGAAATAGACAAGATTTTGCGTTTCCACTTTGCGAAATTAAGTTTTTTTCTGTATCGCAAAGGCATTTTACAACGTTTTTTTTAAATTCATATAGGATTTTACATGGACAGGGAACAGTTATTACATAT